GGGCTGATCACCCCTCCCTGCTCACCTGGGCTGACCACCCCTCCTTGCTCACCTGGGTTGGTGGTGCTTCCCTGTTTACCTGGGCTGAGAGCACTTCCTTGCTCACCTGGGCTGACCACACGTCCTTGCCTCTTCTTTGCCTCCGTGGGTCTCCGTCACGGAGCTGTGGTGGCACCGAGAAAGAACAAAGCTCCTTTCTCATTTTTGACGTGATGTTGCGATGAAAATGGCACACCTGTCAACTCATCTCAGACCAGCCACTCAAACCAAAGGCCTAGAAAAACAGGAGTTTAGAATAAGATACAGCCTTGATGAGCCGGAGACGCAGTTGGATGAAGGCAGAAGCAAGTTCAGGGTCGAATGCGACACACGAAAAACGCAAATTAAAATGACACCAAACCAAACCCAAAACAAGCAACAGGCTTTGCAAATACCAGAAGGCAGAAACGCATGTTCAAAGTCAATGGAAAATTTCATGGTTGAAGAAGACAGTGAGTTAGAGAGTAGGCAACAGAAGGGACCCTGTCTGTCTGTGGACTTTGCCATTGCAGCGGGCTGCACAGGAGAGGGAGGGACCCTCTTTCCGCAGCAACGCGCCCTCGTTAGCAGGCGGGTCCTGGCTGGTGCGATCACCGTGTTAACACAATCACTCACTCTGACCACCTGTTGTCCACGTTAGCCACCTGCACAGATTCCCGGCCCGCCCGGCTCTTGCCCGAGCCAAAGATTCGGAGAAACCAGGGCAGGCATGTAGGTCTCATGGTGAGTGTGGTGTGCGCTCCACGGTGAGGTTGCTGCGGTTGCAGACTGGCAGAGGTGGCTATGCACTTACCACGAGGACTCTGTGGGGCAACAAAAGCACCTGGGCTCCCTGGGCGTTCCAAGCGCTAAGCGACAGGGGAACCCGTGGGAAATGGAGCTGCGGGTAATAACAGACACTCCCCAGTTTCCCAGCACCGGCTGTGGACACCCGCTCCTTTCTCTGAGCGGTCCCTGTCTCCTCACACGGCCCCAGGCCCCTTCCTCCCTCCCCCCCTCCGCAGGTCGCCCCTACCCCTCACTCAGCACCCCCTCCCCCCTGCCTCCCCCTCTCTGGCTTCGCACCCCCAGCGGCCGTGACCTCTCCGACTCCCTCTGTGCTTCCTCTTTCCCAGAGCCCTGCTTCAGTGTCCCAAGAAAAACACTCAGAGCCTCGGTTTGTGATCTTCAGCGGCTATCCTTGCGGTCTTTGGCCCAGGTGGGGTCTCATGGGACCTACGAGGTGGCCCTCTCGACGGGGCCGGACGCGACTCACTTTGTGGCGACTGGAGCGTGGGTTTCCAACCTCTGAAAATATGCAAGAAAGTTCCATGAAGTTGGGGCGGGGGGCTGAGTCCTTCACTTTTACTTCCGGGTCCCTCTCTGGCAGGCCGGCCGGCCATCCTACGTCACTTTCTTCATATATGGAAGGGTCTGGTAGACAAGGAGGCCATTTGCCATGCACCAGGCGCCGTTCTGAGAACTACACACAAATGTGCTGTTGGATCCCCAGCCGGGAGGCACTATCGTGAAATCCTCTTAAAGGTGGGGAAACTGAGGCATGGCGCTGGTGGGTAACTCGCTTGAAGTCACATGCGGGGCCCGTGGGTGTCAGAGCAGAGATCCGAACCCCGATGGTCTGACTTCACAACCCTTGCTCTTAACCAGGCTAATTCCCGCTGCCACACTGCCGTCCGGCATCCCCGGCCCCGAGGGACAAGGGCGTGGAATGCGCTTGGGGGGCACTGGGGGGGGGTTGGCTCTCCTCTGCAGAACAGGACGGACCCTTGTACCTGGCCAGCAAGCGGGGACGCTGCCTGCCCCGTGTGTGGGAAACGCTGGCCTGTCAGCAGGTGTAAACTCAGAAGTTTCTCCCTCAGCCAGTTTCAAGGACGGTTTGCCCAAGTGGACACTTGGAGGGGTCAGGCGCTGGGCCGATCCAACACACGTGGGTGTGACCGAGCACACTGCAGCCGTCAGGACAAATGCTCCTCACGGAGACACACGGACGCCCGGGCTAGTGCGAAGGCCCGAAGGCACACACGGGGACGTGGCCTACGGGTGATCCGAGCGCGAGCAGGAGGGCACAAGGGGCCTCCGGGTAGGACTCTCCGGTCCACGTCCAAACGTGGAGGGGCTGGCGGGGCCTCCAAGGTCTGCAGCAGCGGCGGCCTGTGTGGACCGCCGAGGAAGGGCAGGAAATACCAAGCGGAATCCGGCCGGGCTTTCCCGGCCCTGGGGATGGCCCTCACCCGTTCCCAGAGCCCCACGTGCCAGGAAGTGCCATTGTCCCGGGAAATCCTCCCCATCCTGCTTCCCTCTGCCTTGGGCCTTTTCCCTCTCCTGTGGTGGCTCATCCACAAAGGGCGCACTGTGTGGCCCTTCAAGTGAGTTGTCATAAGTTAGGGCATTGAACAACCAAAGCCGTGGGCTAACCGCTCGTGGTGATGACGCCAGCGGGGATCGGGCAAGGTCAGGCCACACCACCTGGCCCAGTCAACCAAGTCACAAGGGCCATTGTGGGAAGGCGTTATTGTTTTAGTGGGTGCAGCGGAGGTAGGTCAATCAACCAGACTCGGTAAATTGTTATTGACAGTTTCTGAGTGTTTAAAAGAAGAGCGTCCCCTGCATCAGCCTGATTCCAGACCTGCGGCTCCATGGCGGCCTTCCTACCCCTGCTGGCTCTGCTCTTCCTGGGGGCCCAGGCCCAGCATGGCTCCCAGTGGACCTACTCGGGTAAGCCCGCGCCTCAGGGGCTGTGCGCTTCCTCGCTACCCTCACCCCTGCTGGGGTTGCTCTTCAAGGCTACGGAGAGCACCCTGAACCCAGAACCCCCGATTAGGACAAGAGGGATTCGCTCTCCCTTCCCGGACCCCCACATCGTCTGCAGGTGCTTTGCCTTAGAACCTTTTCCGGCCACAGCGCTGGTTGGAGAGCCCTCTGACTGCAAAGCCCTTTGCTCTCTCCGTCTCTGCATGTGGAAAATGAAGTTGTGAGGGCTCCCTGCGGCCTCACAGAGGGTGTGCGGGTTTGCGAGAGCTTTCTTTGTGGGGAGCTCGTGGTAGGAGGTTCACGCAGAACATCTCCACTTTGCACAGCCCCCAGGCTGCCGCCTCCCAGTTGCCATGGGCCTGCTGAGACCCAAATCTGCACATCTGGACACGAAACGTTCCTCCCACGGGGCACTGAGGAGAGCTCCTGCCTGTGCCCCCCCTCTTCTGCATTGCACCGAGGGATGGGGCTCTGGACGGCCTTCGGGGTCGCTGGCGGACCCACTCTGCACACGGTGCCCCCAGCTTCAGGCACAGGGGGAAGCGTACATTCGGGGTGGATGTATGTCTGTTAAGTCAAGGGGAACAGAATTAGGGACGTCATGGGAGGCTCAGAAAGTCCAGCTTCAGAGGGCAGAGCGACCCCCTCTGACCAACCGCCCCGCTCTGGGGCAGAGAAGTCCCCGGGTTCCTTGGTACTCGGGGTGGTTCAGAAGGACAAGCAAGGGGGAGAATTCCAACCGGCAGGTCTTGTCCTTCCCAGTCTCAGCCCAGCCTCTGAGACTGGGGGCCTTCTGGAAAGCCATCAGGGGCCCAGGAGCGCTTGGGGTGGCTACTTCAAATGCCTTTTGGGAATACTCAGAAAGCCACAACACTGCTAGGGACAAGGGCCCCAAAGCCTTTTGATTCATGTGGTGGGGGAGGGGGGCTGTGCCGGGGACCTCTGGCCGTGATCTTGGCATCCTGCCTCTAGGAAAGAATTGCTTAAATATTGGTCTATAGTATTAAATAAAGAGCAGAGAAATAAAAACTTGACTTTCCTGTATATTGCAAAACCAAGAGGCTGGGAGCGGCCCCTGATGCAAACGGCTTCCTTAAAACAAGCCACGCCCCCGCCCCCTGCAGCCACCGGGTGAGGTGGGGAGAGCTTGGATTCCCAACTACAAGTGGGCGGGTATGAGCAGGACCCACGGGGACCCCCCACCTCCGGCAACGACTAGCTTTCTTCCTTCTCTCCCCTAGAATTATTACCCACCTCAAAAAAGATACATTTCCTTACTTTGATTTTTTTTTTTTTTT